CACACACACACACACACACACACACACCATCCTGCACATCACAGCAGACAACCCAGAAGGGCCTCAAGAGTTACAAAGTACTAATCTGGGTGGCTTAGAATGACAGAAAGGTACTGTCACCATTCTGGATGCAGCAGGTCCACAACCAAGGTGACACAAGGCTGTGCTCCCTCTGAAGGCTCCAGGGGAAGGGTCCTCCCTCAGGGCAGCATCCCTCTGTGAGCATGTGTCCAACTCCCTCCCCACATAGGGCTGCCACCATGGTGGACTAGGAGCCGCTCCTCCAGGGCAGCCTCCAGTGGCCCTGAGCTACCTGGAGACACCGGTGGCCACTGCAGGCCACGTGTGAGCATGGAGGCCGGGGCTTCCAGATGCTCTTTCTGGGTGATACCATCCAGCCATGGCCTGACTCAACCACCACCCATCCCACCACGGGCGGGGGCATTTAAGGCTTCTCCCGGACTAAGTGAGGGCAGAGGGGAGGGGAGAAGGTGGGACAGAGCCCTAGGAAGCCAGTAGGGGGAGCAAGACCAGGGGACAGTGGGGCCCCAAGTCTTCAGGATTCAGCCTTAGGGGCCTAGCCCCACACCTGTCACCGTGAGCGGAGCAGGTGTAACAACCCTGTCCTGGGCACTGTGGGATACACTGGGGTCCTAGTAGAGGCCACCCCGCGCCCTGGGTGCTCTAACCCTGCCCTTTCCTGTCTGTCTCTTCGCCCCAGGGCCTTATCTGCCCCACCCTGACTGCCAGAATTCTTTCCTTATCCGTGCTCAGGCGGGCACCACCTCTGCAACAGCCCTGGGTCCTGGGCCCTAGCTGCTAGTCCGGCCCCTCTCTGCCTGCCCATCAACAAGGGCCTTGCATCCATGCCCGCCCCATCTTTCTTGGCCCAGGCAGCTCGGATCCTGGTTGCCATGACAACACTGCAGCGGTACCAGGTGGTGGTGGGGGCAGGGAGCCGGGCACCGCAGCTCCGCCATCTCTGTGCCAGGCCTGTCAATGCAGTGGCCAGGCTCCTCCTGGGAGCACTCAGGGACTCCCTGGGCTGCACTGAGCCTCTTTGGGGCTGACATGTGGTGGGCAGGATAGAAGGAGAGCAAAGGTGCTGGGCAGGGACACCAGCGTCTGCAGGGTAGGGGGTACAGCGTGGAGTCAAGGTGAACTGAAGGACGATCAGACCTGAGGAAGGGGGTGCTAGCTGAGGCTGCAGGGTGCAAAGAGCACCCCACTGTGAGTTTGGGGGCCTTGAACCACCAAAGGCGGGCACAGCTACCTTGGGGAGACGCAGGGGCAGGACCAGGCCAACATCTTCTCCCCTGGCCACCTGAAGAAAAGGGGAGAGAAGGCGCTGGGGACCTGGCAACAAGGGGACAGGCTGAGGGCCCAGAGTCACTGTCACTGGCTCCTCTCCTCACACCAAGCAAGATACAGTTTCCATGACAACCTGGCTGGCCAGAAAAGGGGGCGGGGGACTGCAGAGGGAATTTTCCACATCAGCGGGAAGGAGTGAAGTGGTGCGGGCTGCAGAGGAAGGAACGGCAGGAAGGCCTCGGCCGCGCGGGACTGGCCAAGCCCCAAGTCCCCATGGTCCTGCCCAAGGGCGCCCTTGGGCCACATTCAGCAAAACCACTGCCCACCTCTGGCGGCTGTGGACAAGTGGGAGGTTCAGGCAGGGCCAAAGGTCAAACGTCCAAAGATCAGCAGCCATCCTGCCTGCACAGTGGGCAGTGAGCTGCCAGGGAGGCTGGGCTGCACACCATCAGACCTAAGGGCATGGCCCCCAACAGGGTCCTCCGGAAGGTGGGAGTGGTGGGCTACGGCCGCCTCGGTGAGTCCCTTGCCACTGTGGGCCCCTGCCCCAAGCCCCAGCAACTCAATCCCATGCAGAACCTTTCATCTGTCACCTACCCAGACATCAGCATGAGCCAGCCCACCCTGTCCCTGGCCTCTCCCTCTGTGTCCCATTCGACCTCTCTGGCTTATGCCCCTCCCTCACCTCTGTTCCTCACTTTCTGAATGTCTTGTATCCTTGTCCCCTCTCTGGGTTTCTGTCGCCTCCTCTGGGACCCTGCCCCCTATCCTACCTCCTTGCTGCTGTTTCCTCCCTCCTGGGCCTCAATCCCTCTCTCTGGGTCAGTCTCCCACTCTCTGGATCTGTGTCCACCTCTGGTCCCTGCCTACCCTGTCTCCCTCCCTCTCAGGTCTCTAACCACCTCTGGCTCTTGAGCCCTCTTTCTTCCCCCACCCTAGGACAGTCCCTGGTCTCTCATCTCCTGGCTCAGGGATCTGACCTGGGTCTTGAGCTGGTTTTTGTCTGGAACCGTGACCCGGCCCGAATGGCAGGGAGCGTACCCTCATCCCTGCAGCTCCACGACCTCACTGCCCTTGGGGAAAGGTCAGTGGCCCTCGGTATGCGGGCCTTCCTCTTCCAGCCTCCCTGACCTGCTGTGTATCAGCAGACAAAACCCCTCCATGCCCTGTTTCACCCAAAAGTAAAATGGGAAGAGCCGCACAATGCTCCTTGTCCCAGGCTGGGGTGAAGAATGACAGGGCTCCCATACTTGGGAGGAGCCTGGGGGAGGGAGGCCTAATTCAGCTCCCAGGCCCTCTCCCCTCTCCCCTCTCCCAGGCACCCTGATCTTGTGGTAGAAGTGGCTCATCCCAAAATAATTCACGAATCTGGGGCCCACATCCTGCGCCATGCCAATCTGCTGGTGAGCCCCCCCTTAACCCACAACCCAGACCTCAACCCCCCATCTCAGCTCTGTTCCACCCTAAGCCCAGTCTGGTCCCAACCCTCCCCGCCTTCACACACCCAGGTGGGCTCCCCGTCGGCCCTGGCTGACCAGAGCACACAGCAGCAGCTCCTGGATGCCTCCCACCGCTGGGGCCATGCTGTGTTTGTGGCTCGAGGAGCCCTGTGGGGCACTGAGGACATTTCGAGATTGGATGCAGCTGGGGGCCTCCAGGTGAGGACACACTGGGCTCCCCCAAATCAGACACGAGCCTGAGAAGCGCCCCAGTTGCCCTGACCAGCTCTTGCTTTCAGAGCCTGCGAGTCACCATGGCCACACACCCAGATAGCTTCCGGCTGGAGGGACCCCTAGCTACAGCCCGCAGCACTGGGCCACGCACTGTGCTCTACGAAGGCCCCGTCCGTGGCCTCTGCCCCTTTGCTCCTCGAAACTCCAACACCATGGCAGCAGCTGCCCTGGCTGCGCCCAGCCTGGGCTTTGACAACGTGATCGGGGTGCTTGTGGCGGATGTCAGGTGAGCAGAGTGGAGCTGGGTTGCGCTGGGTGAGGCCTGCCCCTCACCCCTGCTTTCTGCAGCCTCGCGGACGTGCATGTGGTGGACGTGGAGCTGAGAGGACCCCCGGGGCCCACGGGCCGGAACTTCACTGTGCACACCCACCGGGAGAACCCCGCGGAGCCAGGCGCTGTCACCGGCTCTGCCACGGTCACCGCCTTCTGGCGCAGCCTCCTGGGTGCGGCCGTCCCTTCCCTGGCAGAGGACCTTCTCCTGGGTCTTGGGCTGCTGTGCTCTGTGGGGATGGGGGTCTCAAGCTCGATTCTGTCTCTGCTGACCTATATTCCTGAAGTCGTGAACCTTCGCACCCCACCACCTGAATCTTTGTGTGTCTGTCTCTGTCCATGTCCTTCTCTTGAGGTCCTAGGTCGCTCTCTGGGTCCCATTCACCCTCGCTGGTCTGCTCCTTCCTCCCATCACTCTCTTGCCTCCTCCTCGGTCTTTCATTCCCTTTTCTCCCCTGCAGGCTGCTGCGAGCTAGCCTCCAGGCCAGGGATCCACCTCTGCTGAGACCCCACCTGCACCCTGGAAGCCATCCTACCGCTGCTCACTTCTGCCCTGGCTGCACTTTCCAAAAGCTACCTCCTTTCACAGTAAAGCACACAGGATCTTCCCCCAGACCATGTAGCCCCTGTGGTTCCTTATATCTCTCTGTGACGTCACTTAGCGTCTCGCACAGCACATGACGCCATCGTGGTGGGCGGGCAAACACGGCTCCCGGAAGCTGTCGCGAGAGTTTACAGACTACACTTCCCAGAACCCTCTGGCCCGAAGTGGGCGTGGCTTCCCCAGGGTTGGCTTTCCGAGACTCATTTCCGGAGTTTGCAATAGGAACTGAAAGACGTAGTTTTGCATTTGTTAGCGGCGATAGCACACTTCCGGGCCAGGCGGCCTAGATGGTCCAGAGAGCGCAAGGAGTCCTGTGGCGGCCGTCGGGAGTTGTAGTCCGGAGCGTGGGGGTCGCTGGGACCTGTAGTCCTTCCTGCCAGCCCTGTCAGCGCGGTATTGCTCGCCCCGCGCTCGGAGCCGAAAGCAGCCGCCCAGGGGGATGCGGAAGCCCCCGGTTCGGGGAAGCGGAGAGGCAGGCAGGGTGAGGGGCGTTGCCAGGCAAAGGGCGAGGGCCGCGGTTGGGGTTCTGGTCGGAGAAAAGGCTCAAGAACTTGGTGACGGGTTGGAGGCCTGGTTGCCAGGTGATAGGAAAAGGAACTGTTGCTTAGTGACTCGGGAGGGTGCTGTTGCCAGGTGACAAGAGAATAGTTTTTTAATGAGCGGGGAAGGGGTGTCTTCTGTTTCTAGGCGACCAGAAGAAACCCTGTTACCTAGAGACAGGAGAGGAGGAGTCCTCTATTGCTAGGTAATCAGGAGGGACTTTGTTACCCAGAGTGTGTGTATGGGGGGGGGGGGTTTCTGTTGCTAGGAAACTAGTGATTCTGTTACCTAGCAATAGGAGAGGAAGGTAAAACGGTGATAGGCACCCTTTTACTTAGAAACCGGAGGAGTTTCTCAGTTGTCAAAGGAGAAGAGACCTTTTTTTCTAGGAATAGGGGATGGAGGTGTCTTGTGTTGCCCTGTGCCAGCCCACGGGGCAGGAAAGGGCCCAGTGTCCTCAGAGGCTGCCCTCACCTTGATGTTGGTGCCCAGGGGTCTCCTGGGAGGTTGGCCCTCACACTCTGGGCCTCCAGATCTCGAAGCCCTGAGCACCTTCTCCCCCTCCTCAACCCCAGCAGGAGCTGAGGGCAGCATGTCCCAGGCCCCAGGAGCACAGCAGAGTCCACCCTCCGTGTACCATGAGCGGCAGCGCCTGGAGCTGTGTGCCATCCACGCCCTCAACAACGTCCTGCAGCAGCAGCTGTTTAGCCAGGAGGCTGCCGATGAGATCTGCAAGAGGTGACTGTCACCTACCTTGACCCCTGGAGAAGCAGGGCTCCAACAGAGAGGCCAAGCACCCCAGCTAGGGCTCAGAGCAAGGCCAGGCCATGCCCCTGTATGCACCTGAATGGCAGCCTGGGGCTACACATGGAGACAGTGCATAACCCTACCTCTAATCCTCGCCTGCTCATGGTCCTCTATGGCTCCCTAGTCCCCCTAGGGAAAGTCCTGAGCCCCTCAGCCTGGTACCCAGTGCCCTTGTGCTATGCTTTTGGCTGGTGCCCACCTCTGCAGCTTTGTGTCTCACTGCTCCACACAAACTAGACTTCTCGGGCTGGGGAGATGGCTCAGTAGAATAAGCGCTTGCCTGGCAAGTACAAGGGTCTGAGTTCAATCCCTGGTTCAAAAAAAAAAAAAAAAACTAGACTTCTCTGCAGCCCCTGAGCGAACCCACCGCAAGGCCTCCAGGCCTTTACCTGACCATTCTTTCGCCCAGTGTGGCTCCCTCCCTCAGTAGTCTGGATGTTCCCCAAGACTTCACGCAGCATTTCTTTATAATCCTTCTGCCTTAGCCTCTCCTCTCAGTCTGTCTCTCTGCTGCCTAAACCTTCCACCCAGCCTCCTTGCCTCTGCACTCTCCCCTCCAGCCAGCCCCCCAAATTCCCAGATGGCTCCTCCTACACCCTCTCTAGCTCTCAGCCTCCTGCAGCTCCTTGATAACCCTCAGACTGATTATTATAGAATTTATTCCTCTCTTCTCATTCAAAACAGGGGTCAGTGCAGTCTCATGCCAAGGCCAGAGCTGAGTCAGGAGCCCTGCCCCAGGGAGGAGGCGAGGGAAACAGACACAGAAAAATAAAGCTCAAGCTGTCCCCTCCCCGTCCCCTCCCCACCAGGGCCCAGGCAGGGAACAAAGATCCAGTTGTTCTGAGCAGGAGCAGGAAGCCTGGAGATACTTGTGGCTGCAGGGTAGGCCCAGAGTGTTGGAGGGAAGAGCAGGACCGCAGGCGACAGCTGGGGACAGGTGGCTGGGAAGGGCCAATGCCAGAACCACAGAGCAGAGAGTGCCAGTGGGAGGAGGTGGGACCCTGTCCTGGGCCCCTGGGGCCAGGGGGAGCTGTGGGCTGGAGATGAGCAGGCGGTGATAAAACAGTGATACCAGACACAGGGACACTTGCCTTTCAACCCAGCAACTAGAGAAGTTGAGGCAGGAGGAGCACATATTCAGAGCCCACGTGGAAAACTTAGCAAGACCTTGTCGGAAGATAACATTTACAAGGCCAGCAGTGTGGGCCCGCAGTAGAGCTCTTTGCTAAAATGCTCAAGGCCCTGAGTCTGGTCCCAGGTTGTGGGGGCTCAGCTCACTGGGGGAGCCCAGATAGGACCCCAAGCCCAGCATGGGGGTCAGCGGACTCCCCTCAGAGCAGGTGCACCCAAGGTGGACCGTGGAAGGGTCTGGTCATGATGAGAAGGGCTGAGGGAGGGGGGAGCTCGGGAGGACGGGATGGGGGGGTCCAGGCAGAAGGAAGAAGACAAAAGCCTGAGTGGGGCCAGGGGCAGGACTGGAGTGCCAATTAGCAGTGTGGCTGTAGGGGGAACAGCCCCCCATATGGAAGGATGAGCCTCTCTAGGGCCTGAGCTCAGGCTTATGTCACCCCCTCTCCCAGGCTGGCCCCAGACTCCCGGCTGAACCCCCACCGCAGCCTCCTGGGTACTGGCAATTATGACGTCAACGTGATCATGGCAGCCCTGCAGGGCCTGGGCCTGGCCGCCGTGTGGTGGGACAGGAGGAGGTAGGACCTAGAGTGGGCATCTGTGGCCCACAGTGGGACCACCGGGAGGCAGGGACAAGGCCATGCCACTCAGCGTGGGACCGGGGGTACAGAAGGGCCGTGTGGTCCACAGTCCTGCTAAGTCTGTGGGTGGTGGCACAATAGTGGCATCTAAGAGGTGACCAGGAGGTCAGTGGTGTTGGGGTGGAGCTATGCCTGAGTGTTGAGTGAATACAAGACAGACAGTTGTCAGGGGCAGATGTCTCAGGGGTGACTGTAACTGGGAGGTGGGTGACGCTGCAGAGTGGATGGAGCTAGGGTGAAGGGTGGTTAGGCCACAGGGCAGAGGGCTGGCTGGTGCTGGCTGTGTTGGCGGGTGGGTGCTTGGGGAGGTGTGGATGGACTGCGGGGCCGAGTGACCATGGAAGTGGTAGGTTAGCAGGCAGGAGGTTGGCTGGTGGCCAGGAGCCCTGAGAGGGTGGTAGAGAGTGGGCGGGGACAAAGCTACTGGGTGGGTAACTGCGTGGACAGATGTGACTCCTGGCCTGACCCTGCACCACCCCCCAGGCCCCTGTCCCAGCTGGCCTTGCCTCAAGTACTGGGGCTGATCCTGAACTTGCCCTCACCTGTGTCACTGGGCCTGCTGTCCCTGCCACTGCGCCGGCGGCACTGGGTGGCCCTGCGCCAGGTGGGCGGCATCTACTACAACCTGGACTCCAAGCTGCGGGCACCGGAGGTCCTAGGGGACGAGGATGGCGTCAGGTGAGCCAGAGAGGAGGGGACACAGGATGCAGCCTCAAGCCGGAGCCTCACCCTTGCCCCTCACCCTACAAAGGAAACCCAGAGGAGGCTGGGCCTCAGCCTCCCCATGTCTCCACACAGGGCCTTCCTGGCAGCCGCCATGGCCCAAGGGCTGTGCGAGGTACTGCTGGTGGTGACCAAGGAGGTGGAGGAGAAGGGTTGCTGGCTGCAGACCGACTGACCAGCCGACAGACCATCTGCCCGCCCACAGGGACTGCCTCAGTGCTGCCTGGCACGGTGCTCGCAACCACAGCCAGTCTGAGTTCAAGTGCCGGGGAAGGGCCTGTGTGTGCCGGCCCCTCCCCATGTTCCCCACTCCCCACGCCGCTGCTGCCTCAATAAATCTGCTGATCTGCTCCAGCACGGCCTGCACCTGCCTGATGCCTTCGGGCCCTCATTTGGGGCACCGATGGGGTGGAAAAGACCCGTTGTGGCCGCGGGCATTCGGTGGGATGGATGGGAGCCAAGCCAAGCTGGTGGTGGCCCACACCTGCCCTCCCAGCACTCTAGGAGGCTGAGGTAGGAGGGTAATGAGTTCTAGCTCAGTCTTGGCAATTTAAAGCCTTAATGAGATTCTGTCTCAAAAGATTGAAAGTGGGCCAGCCAGATAGCTCAGCAGATCAAAGCACCTGCTTAGGCAGCCACAGGAACAGGGTTTGATCCAGCAGTTGAGGCTGGGTATGGTGGCGCGTGCCTGTAATCCCAGCACTTGGGAGGCTGAAAACAGGAGGACCACTACAAGTCCGATCTGTGTAGTGAGACCCTGTAGACCCTGTACTAAATAAACTTTGAAAGGGCTGGGGATGTAGTGCAGAGCAAAGGCGTTGGATTTCATTGCCAGAACCAAAAAAAAAAAGAAAAGAAGCAAGGAGGAGGCTTTGTTCCTTGGCTGTCCTCTTCGACGACACAGGCAGATAGCTATTGAGGGATCTGAGAGCTTGCGATCAGAGCCGACCCAGGCCATGGGACCTGGGAAGCCAGGGTCCCTGGGCCCCTCAGCAGGACCATGGCAGAGCCTGTGTGCTCTAAGCCATCAAATGTGGTTGCAACTGGCACAGGCCTCCCAGGAGGAGGCAGCAGGAGGAGGACAAGCACCCAGGCTGGAGGACAGCCCCGCAGAGGATGCAGCGGAGAGGGATGACTGGTAATGTGACTCCCACACCCAGGTCTGGGCAGTCAGTGGTCACCCTGCTCCGGCTGCAGGGGACAAGAGGACACCAGGGTTCCCTGCCCCAAAGTGTGGGTGTCAGAGGGGGTCTCACAGGGTGCACAGGACAGGGACTGGGACCAGATTAGCTGGGAAAGGGTGAGGGGCCTCAGAGCTGGTGGGGGTGTGGCTCAGAGGGCCTGGCCTGCATCCCTTGGCAGTGTCAAAAACTAAGTCAGAAGGGAATTGGGAGGGATGGGAGCTGGAACCACCGTGATTATCTGAGGAGGTGGTGACACAAAATAGGCAGGATGGGACAACCTTGGGGCGGGCAGGAAGACGCCCCGTGGGTGGCCCAGGACACTCAGGAGAAAGAGGTGGTGAGAGCTGGGAGGGCCCGGGCTCCTCGGGACAGACGCCCAGCAACACCAGGAGGGGGAGACCCAGGTTCAGGGTACAGGGCTCATGGGTCAGGGAGGGGAGCCTAGGAGCAGAAGTACGCAGAGGGCGTGGCTGGACCTAGGGCCGGGCACCACCCCCACCCCACCCCCGCAAGCCCCCAGCATCTCCCTCCTCCCGGGCGTGGGGTCCAGGATCCCGAGGGCACAGTGGGGGCGGGGAGGTCAGTGAAGAGAGAGAGCCTACCCCCACGGCGCCCCCTGCCATACCTGGGCACTTTTGCTGGCCCCTTGTCCCGCCCCCCAGCCCGCCTGCCGCCTGTCACCGCGGTGGACAGCCGGAGGGACCCGAGGGCTTCTATTCCTGGCTGAGTGGCAGCGCGGCGGCCTCTCAGGTGCTGCTTTCCAGCTATGGCCAAATAAGGTCCCGAGGCGGGGCGCGGGGCGGGCGCGGGGGCGAGAAGCAACTGTCCTCCGCTGGCGACAGCTGAGGCCCGATTTAGCCACCGAGGGGTCGGGCCAGGTGGGGGTGGGCTCAGGCGCCCCTTAAATCTCGGGGCTGGGTGTGGGGTGCGGCCGCGCCCCGCTCGGCTCCGCTGCCCGACTTCCTCGGCCGCCGCCGCCGCCGCCGCGCGGTTTCTCCTCTCTCCGTCGTCTCTGCTCCTTGGCCCACTTCCCCGAGGCCGCTTGCTCTCGCTGTCTCAGGTTCTCACTCACCGTCCCTGTCTCTGCCTCCCGCCTTGGCTCTCCCAGTCCCTCGTGACCGTCGCGCGTCCCGGTCCTCTCGGGCCCGCCTCCGCCTGGGGCTCCCCGCCCACCCGGGCACCGGGCTCGGTCGCCGGCTCTCTCCGCATCCCCTTCCCGCCGCCCCCGCCCCGTCCCCTGTCTCTGTATCTCTGTGTCCCTCCGTGTCCCTGTGGCCGGCCTCTCTCGCTCTGGGCCGTCCACTCCGCCCACCTCCTCGGCTCCCTGGCTGTCCCTGTCCCTCTCTGACCCCTCTCGGCTCCTAGGGGAGCCCGCGCGGCTGAATAAAGCAGGCTCCGTCCTCAGCTGTCGCCCTCTGCCTGCCTTTCCTTCCTATCTCTCTGCCGTTCGGTGGGTCGGGTGCGACCTAGCCTCCTTCCTCGCAGACCCCAGGTGGACGCGGAAGGGGACTGGCGTGGGGACAGGGGACAGCAGCCATGGGTGTGAACTCAGAGGGGGACTGCAGGGGAGCAGGGACAGGGGCCCCTCCCGAGGCCCGAATGCCGCGGGGACATGGGACAGCGGACGCTGTGCCCCCACTCTGGGCAGCAGTGCCAGGCCGGGACATTGGCCCTGTCCCCTCACTAGCCCCTCCCAGCATCCTCTTCCTGTCCTGTCCTGTCCATCAGCAGGCACATGCATGTCCTTGTCACCTGCTGTGGGCACCTACCCCCCTACACCCTCCATGCCCTCCCGTCCCACCCCACCCCTGGCCCCTCTGGAAGCTGCCCACACCCTCCAGCCGGAGTACTTTCTTCTGAACTCCGTGTCTGCCCAGAGCTGCTGGGAAGGACGAGGCATGACGGAGCATCTGCAGCAAGCTCTATGAGGGGCCCTGCACCCTCGCACACCACCTGTCCCTTCCTCTCCTCTCCATCTTCTGCTCCCAGGGACAGCTCTGAGCACCTACTATGTACGGGCACCCCATGTGCAGCCGCCCTGCCTGGTCGTCCCCACTCCCTGCTAATCGTGGCCTCTGCGTCTTTCTGTTCTCAGCCAGGGAAGGAAGCAGGCACATACTGAGCGCCCATGGTGTGCCAGGCTGGCTTTCCTCACTCTCGCTCCCCTCGCTTGCTCCCGTTCCTACACCCCAATCTCTCCTTTTGGCTCCAGCGACTGTTGGCGGGGGACAGAAACAAACAACAATGAAGCGCCCACTGGTGCCAGGCAGTAGAGAGCCCGGCTCATTTCTCAGGCCTTGCTGGTCTCTCCACCCCTCTGGCTCTGCCAGTTTCTCTGCCTGTTCTGAGCGCTGCACTTATTGAGCGCCTGCTGGATACTCTGTGATCTGCCTCCTTGCCAGTAGTCTTCTTTGCCAACCTGGCCCTGCTTCTCCTCCCTGCGCTCCTCAGCCCTACCTCAAGTCCTGTGCCCAACATCTTCGCCTGTTGTCTCCCCTCCCCCACTCCTCTGCACACAGCCTCATTTCTTCTGGGCCCTGAGCTCTCCTAGGGAGGAAAGAGGCCAGTGCAGAGAACCCGCTGTGTGCGGCTGCCTCCCTCCCGGCAGGATGACATGGCGCTGAACCTATATGCTCCCGTGGGACACGGGCTACGTCAGGTGCATGCGGCCCACCGTGGACCAGTGGGGGCTGTCTCTCCTTCTCTCTGTCTCTCTATGTCTCTGTCTGTTTGTCTCTATCTCTGTCTCTGTCTGTCTCTATCTCTGTCTTTCTGTCTCTGTCTCTCTGTCTTGGTCTCTGTCTTTGTCTCTCTCTCTGTGTCTGTGTGTCTGTCTCTCTGTCTCTCTCTCTCTCTCTCTCACTCTTTCTCTGTCTCTCCCCCCCCACCCTTTGCTGTGGCTTGAACCCAGGGGCTTCACACTGAGCTCCAACCTCAGCCTTTTTTTTTTTTTTTTTAGAGTAGGAGAGTAGGAAAGGTAGGGCCTGGGATGTAGCTCAGAGGCACAGCACCTGCCTGGCAAGTTTGAGGCCCTGAGTTTGATTCCTGATATATATTTAAAAGAAGAATAGGAAAGATTTTGGGGGGAATACGAAGAAGGACTAGGATTGGGGAACAGGAATGGCTCCTAAGAAAGGGATCCCGCATGGGTTGCACTTGTGTTTTGGTGTTTGTTTTTTGACTCAGGGGCTTGCTAAATTGTCCGGGCTAGACTCAAACTTGCACTCCCCTGGCGCTGGCTGGCCAGTGAGTACCACCACGCCTGGTGTCTCCCCTCTTTCTCTGGTCTCCATTCCCTGGCACTGCTGTCTGCCTAGCAGCTCCCTGCCGCCCCTGCCCGGGGAAGGGCACAGCCTAGGCAGGCCTTCTGCCGCCGGGTCTCGGACCCTCCCTCCCCGTGTCGCTCCCCCAGCCAGCTGCGCACTGTCAGCTGTGAGCCCCGCCCACCTGGCCCTGTGGCCGCCTGCTCTCTGCGCCCTCGGGCTCCACGGCAGGAATGTGCACCGGGCTGGCCCCATGCGCTGCCGCCCTCTGTGGTGCCCTGCTTTCCTGTCCTCTCCTGTCCTCCTCCTTCTCAGGGAGCCCCAAGGGAAGGGGTCTGTTCTGGGGACCAAAGCCCAGACGCCAGGCCGATTTGGGCTCAGGTCTGGTTCCTTGGTGGAAAGAAGCTGGATGAGGCCAGCCCTCCCTCATGTTTCCCACTGGCAGCAGCCCTGGCGGTCTGCATTCACTCCCACTGGTGCCCTGGGGCGGCAACTGCAGGTGTGCCTGGGCGCAGTGGGTCCTGGTCCTCCCTGCAGGGGGGCTCCTCCCTCCCCTTATCTTTACTGCCTTCTTGGCCTCCCACACACCCACTTTCCTCTCCTCTCTTCCCTCCTCTTCCTCACCTTCTCCCTCCTCCTCCTATGCCCTCCTCACTCTCCTACTTGTCCTCCCCTCCTCCTGCCTTTTCCTTCTCACGCTCACCACGTCCTTCTCCTCCTCTTCCTCCCTCCCCTCCCCCTCCTCCGCCTTCCCCTGCCCTCTTCCTCCCTCCCTCTCCTCTCCCTCCTCCCTCTTCTCTCTCCCTGCTTTCCCCTGCTCTTCCTCCCTCCCCCTCCTCCCCTTCCTCCCTCTTCTCTCTCTGCCTTCCCCTGCCCTCTTCCTCCCTCCCCCTCCTCTCCCTCCTCCCTCTTCTCTCTCCCTGCCTTCCCCTGCCCTCTTCCTCCCTCCCACCTCCGT